CATTAAGCCTACGATAGTCGACATACAGGCGCAGGCTACTATCCTTCTTTAGTACGAATAGGATAGGTGCACTAGCAGGGCTGTTGCTATACCGTATCCGGCTATTAGCTAGGTTTTCCTCTAGATACTCGCGCAATATAGCAAGCTCTCGTTTACTAAGGTTGTAGAGGGGTCTAAAAGGGACCTCTTTGCCCTCTATAATATCAATCTTGTAATCCGTCTCTTTAAACATAGGCAATGTCGATGCTAAGTAGTGTTTAAACACGTTAATATAGGTGTCTCGGATAGGCTCTAGTATACGAGCAAGCTAATTAGGATTATTAGGGGGCACAGGTTCATCGTCATCGCCTAATAGGTCGACTATTAGGTTAGCTGCGGCAGGTGTTAGGTTGCCGATAAATAGGACCCTAATATCGTTAGGGCACTCGCTAACATCGATGTATTCAATGTCCTCTTTTCTAGCGATTCTAAATCGCTACTGTTAACTGCCTAAGTCTATAACTATAGCATAGTACTTAAGAACAGGGTTGCTAATAACAATATCGGAGGGGAGGCTGTCTATGTCTACCGCGTAGGTAGTGAAGTTTAGCAGGCGCTTATTGCCGAGGTCGTCCTTTAGGGCTATATAAACATAGTAGGCTCTATAGGTTAAGTGCCGAGCGTTATTAAACCAAGCAAGGGTTAGCAGGTTAGTCCTAGGCAGTTGTCGAAGGTCTAATTGCTTAGCTAGGCGATAGCTAATAAGGGCACTAACTGAATTTCCGGGGTCTAGCATAACCCTTGCCTTATAGTTAGTGTCGGGCCTAGATATAAGACAGGTACGTATAATGGCTAGCACAATGTCGATAGTCTTACGCCGTACGAGGCTAACAGTTAGTGCGGCGCTTACTCTTTTTTCGAAGGTTGGCCTATAGGGGTAGCGTTAGCTACTAAAAGGTGCTTTCGGTGCTTAGCGGTAGCACGGTCGATTCGGGCCTAGTCCTTGGGTTTTTCGCATTAGCCTAGTAGATAGCTAGTGCTATTACAATTGAAGCACTTCAATCCGGTCGGGAGATTGTTGCCGTAGCTGTTGTTGCTGCTATTGTTAGTCGAGCGGTTAGTATTGTAGGGATACGAGCCCCTTCTACGGCCCCTGTCGCGGCCTCCTCTGTATAGCCGCCGGCCACGGCCTCTTCTACGGTCGCTACTGTTCCTATTGTTAGCATTGTTGTCTTAGTAGGAACCTTGGTTTCCTCCGCCGCGGCTACTACGGCTGCTACGGTTAGTACTAGCTAGTCGGATCCTTAATTCTAGTCGTTGTTAGAGCTAAACAGCCCGTTCGGCTGTTTCTACTTCGACTATGAATTGAATGCGTATCAGATTGGCTTGTTCGAATACACGGCGACGGTCTAATTCGAGGATAAGTTCCTATCTAAGTTTTGGGCGTATCTCGGAGATCTATATAGAATTAGTCTTAGGCGGAAGGTCGTCTTTAAGGGTTTTCAAATAGGCCTCGAATAAGCGAGCCGATTAATTAGTCTTCTGTTTGGCTCGAAGATATAGGTCCTAAGTATGTTGTTGCCTTAGTATAGGGTTTCTAAGGGTATCTAGCATAATGGTTTTGTAGGTCTGCTACTAAACAGCAGTCTAGTTATTAAGGGAGTCGAAATAGTTATCCTATATACGCTTTAGGTCGCTATTAATGTACTGCATAGCGTATACGACCAAGGAATAGTCGTCTAGTAGCGCTCTTAGTGCGTTGCGCTAGTTGAGTTTACAGTTACGAATGTAGTCGTTATACTGCTTCCGACTAGAGCTATCAAATACGGTACAGTCCTTAAGTTTAGCATCCTTCTTTTAGATAGGCAGTGAAGAAGGTCCTACTATAGGTTTAGTAGTGGTCGTTAGGGCTTCCTAAAGACGACGGAGCTCGAGGAGGTTATCCTTCAGCTATTGTTCTTAACGTAGGGTAGTAAGCCTGTCTTAGGTAGCTTTTTAAAGTCTCCCTAATAGTTAAGGCCTAAAGGCTAGTTAGCTATATCGTCGATTGACAATGTTGTTAAGAATGTCGTTAATAGGTAATTCTAGGTCATTACCTGGAATTGCAGGTTCTTCTTTAATAGGCTCTCCGGCAGGCTCTTTAGTAGGAGGCACTTTAGTAGGCACTTCTGCGGGAACTGTGCCACTAGCGTTGTTATTGCTAGCGCTACTAGCGGCAGCACGGTTGTTGTTTCGTAACGAGCCGGCTATTGTAATAAGGGGTAGCACTAATAATGTATTATAGGCCCCTAAAATGCGGATGTAGCGGAATTAGTAGATATCGGCTTAGTGCGATTAATTTAGTATAATAGGCCGTATAGAAGGCCTTGCTTAATGATTAGTACGGTTGTTTAATAGAATAGTACGTATAGGTCCCGTTCTTCGGGCGCAATATAGTTAAATCGATAGTTTTCGTAGCTATACCGCTAAAAGCTTGAAATAAGGACTATCTAGCTACTGCCCTTAAAGGGTAGATCGAATACTGTATAAGAAGGGTATATTAGCAGGTAGATAGGGTAGTAGTGGGTATAGGTAGTATTCGATAAGGAACTAGGAGGAGAGGGAGGAAGGCAGGCAAGTTGGCCTACTGCCAAGCGCCAAGCCCTGCCTAAGGCACCGAGACCCTAGCTTCACTCGAGCCCGGTTACATACCAATCACGTGTAACCTCTTTGGTCCTAACAGACAACAACGGAGAACCGACTAAAGGCGGAGGAGCGTAGCTTATTAGGGCAGGTCCTCCTAGGGAAAGCGGCTGCCCCTAGACCTAAGTATAGTAGGCAATTGCTACTAAAGGTAGAAACTACTACTACTATCTCCTCGGGGTACTAATAGGATCGCCGATAAGGCGCTCGCGCGTCGGTAGGATATAGTGCGGAAGGGTAGTAAATCGAATAGGTACCGTCGTAACAAGTAGGAGTTAAATCGTAGTAATCGGTAGAAGATCGGTAGGACTTGTAGCTAATCGCGTCGATTCTCGTCGTAGCCGTAACGACCGGGGTCGATTCGGATAGAGGACTAGTAGTTAGTATAGAAGCTAACTAAGTGTTAAGCGAAGCTACTAAGTTGCTAGGCACATAGTTACAGTACGAAGGTATTATAACGGTTATACGGTATAAAAGTTAATAATTCTCTAAGGTACCGCGAGGCAAGCTATCTATATAATAGTCCTACTATTAGTAGCAATAGCGACCGTAGCGGTCGATAGTAACCGCTGCCTACTATCGTATATGCAATAGTATTATATCGTAATAGTCGATCTTACGGATAATAGGTTACTCCTCGATCTTTCTAACTCTTTAAGCGAGGCGAACCTTAACTATTGCACTTATAATAGCCTTTACCTATAGAAACTAGACGAACTAGGTTTTTTAAAAAGATAAGATAAGATTAATAATTAAAGGCTGCTAAACCTAACTAATTAGGGCTAGCGAAACTACGAATAATAATAGCCCTCGTAATAATAAGAACAACCCTTAGAGCGGACATTTCTAGGTCTTTTAAGAGTAGACGCAAAGAACTTAGTACGACATTACTTAGAATAGAGGCAGTACTACAATACCTCGTACGCCTACCTATTATAGTAGGGAAGACGCGCTCGTATTATAATTAGTCGAAGGCCCTTAATTCTTATAGATATATATTACTTTATAGTTTATTATATATAAGGATAGCGTAGTTAGAGTTGTATATTGTGTTATACTAGAGGTAAGGTTTGATATAGTTATATAATCGGTAGTTATACGTTTAATTTAGCGCGGACTAAGCGGCTTATTAAACCTGCTAAGTTAGTAGCAATAGAGGTTAAGATTAGAATAAAGACTAGCTACGAGGGCGTAGCCTTTAGAAGGGAAGCGTATATTAGGACTAAAGAGGTTATACGTAATTGGTATATAACTAGGCTCGAGTAAAGCTAGGGTCTTAATGCCTTAGGCAGGGCTTAGCGCTTAGTAATAGGCTAACTTGCCCGCCTTCCTCCCTCTTCTCCTAGCTCCTTATCGAATACTACCTATACCTACTACTACCCTATCTACCTGCTAACATACCCTTATTATAGATATAAAATAGGAAGCTAGTCTAGGAGGAAGATTAAGAAGTTAGGCTAGCGCTAGGTAGCCTAGGCTAATCCCTACCTAGGCTACTAAGGCTATAGCTTTACTTAAGCCGAAGATCGTATTTTAATAGTAGAATCTACGATAAAATTATAAAAATTAGCGATTTAGCTTTAGGCCTTTAGATAAAGGATTAAGTAGAGTAGTATATAATTAGTTATTTAGAAGTCGGTAAATAAACCCTAAATTATACTATTACGTGCAATTTAAACTAATTTACTACCGCGGAACGTAATCCTTAATATACAAAGGCCTAAACGGAGGTAGAGGTTAGTAATAGAACCGCGGCCGCTCGGTATATACTATAAAACCTCTTTATTATATTACTATCTTAAGAACGTACAAACATTCCGCTTTCCGGTAAAGATCGCGTTATTAGTAGAATAACGTAGCTTAGCTACTATAGCGATAAAACCATAGACGAAAATATACTAGCGGCACTCTTTACGAGTTGACAGATAAGACACCTGAAGTTGGGCGCGAGTTCTACGACTTTCTATCGTACCTCTCGCGGTCTATTCACTCCTGCAGGCTCTTCGCCAAACATGACTACACAGTCGAGACTCTCGACCAACACGAAGCTCCTGAACTTCTACCCTTTCATCGACATCGAGACCACATCGCCTTACCCACTCCTCTTCATCTCAGGTGATCAGGCACACTCCAGGAAATTCAGCGGAGATGCATATATATGCGCGGGCTCGCTACGATCGCGTCGACTGATCCCGTTCTCGAGGTTGACCAATTTCTTCACAACGAATCTAGGTTAGAGCCTTCCCATCATACTACACCACCTTTCAAACTGACTTGCCCAAAGTCCGAAGAGAAATTGAGACGGCGAAAGGCACGTAAGAGCTCGTACGACCAGTAGATCAAGCGGAGGTATAGATTCTACCTTCCCAAGGCCCAAGGCTCACACCTGAGGATCCACTGACATTACCAAACTGCAGCTTCCAGCCTGTTTCCAGAGCACAGTCCGGCAGAGCAGCTTCTGAACCAGAAAAGTTGCAAACAACCAGCGCCGATCTACCAGTCCCTCGTTTGAGAAATGTGAAGACCTGTTTATTATCCTCATCGACAAGCTCAAAATACCCATGAACCAGAACATCGTTCAACTGTCTCCGAACCTGCAACATCCTCCTCCAGAAAACAAGCACAGAATCTTCCCGCTTGAGCTGCTCTGCAACATTAATTTCAGAAGTGGAGGTATTGACACGCATCCAAGGCACGACTTCATCACCTGTGAAGCCGCCGTTACGACCAGAAGTCCACTGCATCGGCGTCCTCGAATGTTCTCGCGCCAAGTGCTGGAGAGACTCTCGAGCCTTTCGTATATCTTCAGGATTGTCGTGGCTCCTCTTCCTCACAGTTTCATAATAGTTGATAGACCCGATATCCTTATACTCCTCGATCGGCCAATCCTTGGGAATGTTGATCATCCCGATTTCCTGGCCTTGGTACACGAAGAGTGTGCCAGACAACGATGCGAACAGGATTGCAAGGAGTTTGGCCGAGCGTTCTCGCCATTCCCGTCCATCGTCACCGAAACGAGACACGCTTCTCGCGAGGTCGTGGTTTTCGATGAATGTCGTGGTCCAGCCATCCGTCTCTGACAAGAATGACTGCGTCAACAGGATAGCACGCTTAAGGTCGATAAGCTCGTACGCAAAAGGCTCGATGTCAAACCTCTCGGGCTTGCCACATCCGACTTCGCAGACATCAAATTGGAAAATCATGTTTAAACGTTTCTTACTCGCACCGACATATTCCATCACTTGCTCAATATTGCTTGTATGGGGACATTCCCCGACAGACATGGCACCATATCGATTCAAGATAGCGCCGATCTCTGAATGGTACTCTAGTATCCGCGGACCGTTGCAGACTACAGGTCCGAACTCCTGGTACTCGGCTTCAGGATCCGTGATGGGCGCGTCAGGAAATCCAGGTGGCTTGCTCATGATGTTTGCGCAGTCGATTCGAAATCCATCGATGCCCTTGTCGAGCCAGAAGATCATGGACTCCTCGTACACGACTTTCCTCAGTTCTGGATTCTCGAAATTCAGATCAGGCTGCTCGTGTGCAAAGAGGTGGAGATAGTACTCCTGCGTCTGCTCGTCCCAGGACCAAGCACTACCTTGGAAAGCCGAACGCCAATTATTAGGAGGCTTACGGGTTCCGTCCGCATCGTATTTGGCTGGCTGCCAAAAGTACCAATCTCGTTTGGGACTGTCTTTCGATGCCCTGGACTCTTTGAACCAAGCATGTTGATCTGAAGTATGATTGATCACCAGATCCAGGATGATTCGAAGCCCTCGAGAATGTGCTTCCTTGATCAAAATCTCCATGTCTTGAACCGTGCCGTACGGCGGGTAGACAGACTTGTAGTCGGAAACATCATAGCCCATATCGACTTGTGGCGACGCATACATTGGGCATATCCAGATCACATCTACACCAATCGATTGAATGTAGTCAAGGGATTGAATGATCCCAGGTATATCGCCGATGCCATCACTGTTGGAATCCTTGAAGCTTGCGGGATAGATCTGATACACCACGGCATCTTTCCACCATGGCTTGTCTGCGGTTGCCATGCTGTCCAAAAGTGCTAATAATGAGCATTTGCCACCTTGACTCGGACAATGGATTACAGAGTCGCACGTTTATCGTGAAGTGAAGATCGGCCTTTCGATGTTTCGGCGAGTTCTAGAACCAGGAAGATTCGCCGTAGTGAAGCTGTGGCTCCAGGCTCCTTCTGGCCAAGCACGTGTGCATTAGAATAGTACTGCCAGGTTCCCCGCAGGAGCATGGCTCTCACATGGAGTGACTTTTCTCGTCCAGGGCCTCTCTTCGGTATGTCTGTCTTCGAGCTTCACATCCACACCTGATTGGCCTAATACCATGCTGCGAGCGAGCACAATCTGAGGTTGCAACGTGCCTCTATCCTGGAAAAGTACAACCGCGCGAGTATTTTTGCCTGAACCAGCATCGCCGGCTCGAAACGGTGGCGGCACTGGGTCTACAGTATAGATGATAATAGAATCACGCCGCCAGAGTGTTTGGGGCTGCCGTTGTTTGTTATAATCGCCGGCGAGGTGGACACCCTGCTCATAACGTTACGACCAACATCTTGAGAGAGATTCTCCTTTGGAAATGTCGAGTCGGCACGCATCAACCACTGGTGCAGGCCAAGCAGGATCCGAACCTGAGGGCGCTGTGATGGCCGAGAACGTGTCCCGACTCGCACAGCTCACGCGAGTCGAGACGCTCATTCGAAACGATGCAAGCCAGGCCGCCGATGCCGAGGCCAAGATGTCCTTGATGGAAGGACTGAGGCTCTATCCCAAAGCAGTGGCGTGGTCTATGGCTATTTCGACCTGCATTGTGATGGAAGGCTTCGATCTCGTCCTCATCAACGGTCTCTATGCACAGCCTGCATTTGCTAAGCGCTTTGGTCACCTGGCCTCGGACGGTACATACCAGATCTCTGCCGCGTGGCAGTCAGGACTCTCGAACGGAGCGCTTGTCGGAGAGATCCTGGGCCTGATGGTGGTTGGCATTGTCGCGGAACGGATTGGCTATCGAAAGACCCTGGTTATCGCGCTCAGTATGATTACTTGCTTCATCTTTCTGCTTTTCTTCGCCAAAAGCCTGACGATGCTTCTGATTGGCGAGATACTCTGTGGTATTCCGTGGGGAGCCTTTGTAAGTGCGAAGACTACGGTCTGATTTGATAGACTTCGCTGACTTGACCTTCCACAGCAAACTCTGACGACTACTTACGCATCCGAGGTCTGCCCAGTCGCACTGCGAGCTTATTTGACGACCTATGTCAATCTTTGTTGGGTCATGGGCCAGTTCCTCTCCTCTGGGGTTCTCAAAGGAGTGGCTGATATGGAAGGCAAGAGTGCCTACAAGATTCCCTACGGCCTTCAATGGATCTGGCCAATTCCCCTAATGGTCGTTATGTTCCTTGCTCCAGAATCGCCCTGGTGGCTCGTCCGAAAGAACCGGAAGGAGGAAGCCAAGAGGAACTTATTGCGTCTTACGTCCAGCGGCAAGAACCCCGATTTTGACGCCGACAAGACCATTAATCTGATGGTATATACCACCGAGCTAGAAAGAGCGACGCAGGAAGGCGTTTCCTACTGGGACTGCTTCAAAGGCGTCAATTTACGGCGCACTGAGATCGCGACGATCGTGTGGGCGATCCAGATTACAGGTGGCGGATACATCATGGGTTACGCAGTTTACTTCTACGAGCAGGCCGGCATGAGCCCGTCGAACGCCTTCTCCATGAACTTAGGAGCCACCGCACTCGCTTTCGTCGGCACGGTATGTTCATGGTTCCTCATGGGCTGGTTTGGTCGCCGAACTCTGTACATCTGGGGCCAGATAGGCTGCATCCTTTGCCTGCTGCTGGCCGGCTTCATGGGCCTCGCGAGGGAGAGTAACCCGGACGTCAATTGGGGCATAGGCACAATGATCATGTTGTACACGTTTGTGTACGACCTGACTGTCGGACCCGTTTGCTATTGTCTTGTGGCAGAGATCTCCTCTACTCGACTGCGGAACAAGACTGTAGTTCTGGCCCGCAATCTATACAACATTTCAGGGATCGTGGCGAATGTGCTCTTCACCCATCAGCTGAACCCAGACGCGTGGGACTGGGGCACGAAAACCTGTTTCTTCTGGGCAGTCTCCGCAGTGATCTTTGCAGGCTGGACATGGTTCCGCCTTCCAGAGCCCAAAGATCGCACCTACGCCGAGCTTGATATGCTATTCGAAGCGAAGGTGCCGGCGCGCAAGTTCAAGACAACTAAAGTCGATGCTTTCGCAGCGGATGATGTGGAAACTGAAAAGAAGTCCGCGGACGAAAAGACTGAAGTCGTGTTCACAGAGAGCACCGAAGTGAAGGCCTGAAGTCCAGCTTAGGTGAAATGAGATGCGATCTCTCGCTAGCTAAGGATACATACATACCTGACACGTTGTCAAGCAGACATAGAATACCCAAATCAACAGTTGTGAACCTTGACCTCTGATGTGTCTACTGATAACCTTGGTCCCATATTGTACCGGATCTAGGCGTGCAATGTGTCAATCGAGGCGAATCTGTTGTTGCCTCGGGATCAGATTTATCGAAGGATGTCGTAGTCATGTATTAGCATTGATTTGCTCGGTATCACAAGTCAGTTCATCAACCAACCACATGATCAATATCAACCACTCCACCCCCTGCTCGGAAGCTTCGACAATGCTTGGCGCCATCCGACCACCTCCCTGTTTGTTGCTCCCCTTCGTCTTATCCTCAACATCCTCTAGTAGTCATGGGTTTCCCATCGTCATCACCTCAATGTTTCCCTATCAGCTCCAAATCTAGCACAGGCAGCTCACCGAGTTCGCAGCTCGATTGTTCGAGCCTTTGAGCAGCTCGACCAGGAGATTCATACACAACTTGATCATCTGCTATGCCTTCCTACCACGTCGACAACTCTGGCGCGAGAGACTGCGTGATCCTGCACTTCGCATTAGCCTGTCAGATCCGCAGGTCCGAAAATCTCCCTCGAGGCGATCGATTGCAACCCCACTTCTTCGCACATCTTCAAGATGGTCTCTGAAGCAGAGCGGATAATAAGAGCGTGCTCCGAGAGAGCAAGGTAGCACAATCTCTTGGTCGCCTCGAAGCTCTTTTGCCTCCCTCTCGCCTGGCGTCCAGAAAGATGTCCATCATCGAGAAATCAAATCCTCTCAATCTGCAGTATAACGTCTGCTTGGTCACAGCAGCTTCAAGCCCGCTGGGAGTGCGAGTATGTAAAAGCCTGCTGAAAGCTAATGCTCTGGTCCTGGGCATCGATAGCACGACTCGAGATTCTGCTTTGAACGCTGGACTTGGAACACACTTCCAATTTGAAGAGCTTGAAATTGAGGCAGGAGGCAGTGCAGGAAAGATTGTGTCTGCCGCAAAAGAGAAGTTTGGCCTCGAAAGGCTTGATGTGTTGGTCAATATAGTTGATGAGGCCAGGCACGATGTATCAGGACATAGCAAGTTGACCGAAGCGGTTTTAGAGGTTATGAAAGAACAGAGGAAGGGCTCCGTCATTCTTCTTGCTGAAGAGACGGAGCTTGAGTCGCCGTCTCCAGACTTGGTAGACTTGTTCTTGATCGATTTGTCTCAAGATACTGACTATCCGCAGATCACATTTGCCAAAGAGATCGCTTCTGAGCACCAGCAAAAGGGAATCAAGTGCAATCTCGTTTCCGGGCAAGGCAAGTAAAACACTAAGAGTATCCCTTCGATCTGATACTCATCAAATTGCTTCACAGCCACCGGAGGAAGTGATATGAAATCCAAAACGGCATTCGATGCCGCAAAGCTACAGATGCACGAGCTACGACAGTCTAAAGAACCTTCCTCCAAGCTTCACGAAATCAGTCTTTTGGCTTTGTTTTTGGCGGGCGAGATGAGCGATGGTATCGGCGGCAAGATCGTATACCTGGACGGGTCGTGTTCGTCTCTGTGAAATGGGAAAGACTTCTAGCGTTTCAGACCTCCCGCGGCTTGCACTCTTCTGTCTGCGCCACTGAAATATTCCACTCTGAGCTCGCAGAATGTGCAATTTCTGGTGAAGAACCGATTGGACACTGACCGTAATCCTCACTTGAAGTATGTAGTGTGTGTGGTATCACGTGCATGATGCCTGAGGCTGAAACTGCGCACTTCATCTTTCGGGCTTCCTGTAGATTAGCCCTCTTCTAAATACATTACAGTTTACATCAAGTGGTTATAAGCCCCCTGCGTTTCCAACGCGTACAACACGTTTACTACGTATTCTAATAGTCACTCCGACTGCTGCGTAGCTAGTACTCGTTACTAAAAATTGCGCCGATACTATTATCGTCGCTGCTACCCTTGCCGCCCTTCGAGTGTTCTAGCAGGTGCTAGTCCGACTCGAGTCGGTTATATAACAACAGTGTCGGCTGTCCGCTATATAACATAGGCGCGCCTATTAGCGGCCTCTTAAGACAAGTTTATAGTCTCTTTCTATATTATCGCCGTCGCTATCTGTAATAGCTCCCCCTATAACCTCTAACGCTTATATAAGCAACATCCCTAAGCTAAAGAATAAGGAGAATTATCTATTATAGTTATATGCCGCTAAGGGTGCCCTTAAAGGCATATAGGTATAGCGCTATATCTAAGGGACCCGCCTAAAGCCTAATATTAAGTTGTCTTCTAAAACTTAGTTAGAGTTTGAAGACCGACAAGATAAATAGGAAGCAAAAGATCAATTAGCGCGTACGTGGATCTTTGCTAACTATGTCGCCGAGGTTTAGTAGTCGTTGCTTAGTCTCGCTATATCGTAGGAAGTATAGACTTACCTATATAAGAAATATACTAGTAAAGGTAGGTCTACTAAATTCATACTCTACTAGGAATATATTACCCTTCGGTATAATAGCAAGGACATTAAGAAGTTCTGTAATAAGTATAAGAAGAAGCTTAGTACCTTAAAGGATACTAAATTAGCTATTAGCTAATACTAGGCTGTCTATATATTTATTATATAGATCGCACTATTCTACGAGGCATTCGTATAGATGCGCCGTAAGCAGATACGCGCCTTAGAATACACTATTAACGATAACACACTTAATAACATTATTAGCGCGTTGCTTAATAAGAATGTAGCTTAGTTAAACTAGGCCTAATATAACGGCTTCTTTAGTCTTTAGCGCTAACTATAATAGCAAGGTAGCAATAGTAATAACAACGGTCGAGGTAACTCGAACCGTAGCGGTCGTAGTAGCCGCGGAAACAACAACAATAGTCGTAGTCGTAGTAGAAACAACTAGAATAGTCAAAATCGCGAGAAGTGCTTATACTATTAAGGCACTTACCCTTCTAACCGCTACTACACTAAATACCCTTATCTAAAGGAGGAAGACCGACTACGTCGTAAACAGCAGAAGGCTAAGAAGAAGGGGGTGTAGTAACAGCAGTAGCGTAGACTAACTGCTTAGCAACAGTAGTAACCGCTATCTAGTTAGAATAGCGCTTAGGGGCTATATGCGGCTAATGCTACCCCGGGGGTGTTATTAGACCTAAGCTACAATTACGCCTTTACTGCAAACACTATAGTTACTGTTAGCGACTAGGTTTCTACGGCTCTTACTGCTAGCACTCGTACTACTAATTAGGTTATCGACTTAGGTACTAGTATATACATAGTTAACGACCCTTTATTACTTATTAAATATAAAGGCTATTACATTCCTATTCGGTTTAGTAGCAACACGAAGCACGCTACGATAGTTAGCATAGCTTAGACAGAGGTTGTTAATAAGCGTAGTATAAGCAATATGAAGTTGTCTAATACACTATATATGCCTAGTCTAGTAGCTAACCTTCTGTCTACTAAGAAGCTTGCCGATAAGGGCTGTTTCTATCGGAATGACAAGCGAGTGCTATTTACTATTGTTAACGGCTCTAAGGTTACTATTACTTAAACATACCGGAAGAATAGTCTCCCCTATCTGTATATACCAACCTCTAGACCGGATAGCTAAGTTGTTGCGCTTCTGTCGAAGAAGGGGGTACTAACAGGTACGATAGAAGAGTAGCATCTACAATATAGCTATATCTATTACCGCAAGCTGTTACGAATAGAAGCTAAGAGTCAGATTGTTATTACTAGAAACAAGACCGACTTCCGAAACTGTATCGCTTGTCGTATAGCAATGTTATATAAGGAATACAACCGACTACTACGAGTGCGACCGTCTACTATTTACTATATTGTCTATATAGATATAGTTACTATTACTAACCCTAGTCTACTATAAGAACGCTACTTTACGTTGTTTACATGCGCTAAGTTAGCCTATCGATACGAATATGCTAGCTTACTAAAGTTAGGGGCTGTAGTAGCTATTAAGGATTATCGTATATACGTCCGTATATAGACTAGCTATTCGATCCCGATCTACTACCTCGATAGAGGGGGTAAATACGGCGGAAATCAGCTATTAAGCTAGGCTCGTAATTAGGGCATTATACTGTAGGTTATAGCACCTTATTCTTCTACTTAGAATAGCCTAGCTAAGGTTAGCAACTATATCGTATATACGACTGCTCGGAAGATAATGCTCTATACGAATTTGCTAAAGGCCCTATAGCCGTATACAGTTACTACTGCTACACAGGTCCTTAATATTACTCCTAGAAACTTAGAAGGTCTTAGCCCCTATGCTATTGTAGCTAGGGAGCTTAATTAGTCTCGGAAGTAGCTACGCCTTTAACACCTTCGAGCCTATAGCTATACTGCTATTGTCTACGACTATAGTATAGCTCGTAGTAAGAAGTTTGACGCTCGTAGACGGCTTAGCAAACTAGTTAGTTATGCGAAGGACTTAGTAGACTCTAGCAAATATATAATCTACTTATCTAACGAACACAAGGTTATTGCCTCGAAGGATGTCTAGTTTATTAAGTTAGGGGACGACAAGTTGTCGCTTCTAGAGGGCATAGACCTATACGCCAATCCTAATAACCTAGATAAGAACGAGTTTGTTATACTCGAGTCCGTTATACCGGCTCTATTTAATTCTACAAGTAACGAGGCACCGTTACTATAGGAAGCCGCTAGTATAGTCTAGTAACTTCTAGCCTAATAAGAAGATGCTCTAGAAGAACTAGCTTAGGAGGTAGCTAATAAAGTCGCTAATCCATTGCCGCTCGAGGATAACCTGCCGGCTATTCAACCTCTATTAAGTAATAAGGATAGTTTCTAATCCGCTAAGGAACAGCCTATATATAATCCTTACGCTAAGAAGGGCGAGCTAGGCTAGTTGCCTAAGTTTAAGCGACCTGCTAAGGCTGTTAGTAATCGTTCTACGCGCAAGACCCGGAGCAATAAGTTAGC